TCAAGTGAAGATACTTAAGAGTCAGTGGAAGACAGCTGAGCAAAAGAGAATGGAAAATTGCATTTACTGGATGTTTTAAGGTGCTAAAAGTAAATAGCAAATATTTTATAAAAATGTAAGTGTGTTGCATAAGAAAATATTTTTTACTGATTGTTCAAAACTCAAACCAGATGTTTATTTGGAAACCATGTGTACTTGGTTGTCAGGGCGCAGGCTAGCCCATCCATTTAGCCCTCATGTTAAACAAGAAAGGAGTGGTCATGTCCTTTATAGAGCTTGCAAGTATTATTTGTTGGTATTTATTTTTAAAAATAGGGAATTAGTTGTTAAATCTTAAAAACTGCACTCTGTCTCACTCTGTCTCTTATGCACACACATGATGATTTATCAGTCTGTCTTGAAAATTACGATTTAGCGAGACTAAAACTACATTCTTACAAGGCAGTAATGGCAGTAATTTTATGGGGCTTAAAAAAAGCACCTCTTCAGGGATGTTACCACGTTACCCTAAAACTTTCCTTTATCCTAAATCTTGCCTAATTGATATTTTTGTGTTTAGGTATTTTATAACACTCATGATATATGTGATACTTCTCATATTATTCTTTATAGTGATCCTTGCCTTAAAATCTAATGACTACATGCAACCATTTTAGTAGGTGAAATAATCTGGGATTACAAATGAGAGACCAGGAACTGATTACCTATTCTTGGGGTTTTGGATTCACCTTCTGTTTTGTGTTGCCTTAGAATTTCCTACAAAAGTTTACTTCTTCCATAACTGCTGATTGCCTCCTTGATCTGGGAACAACACTATCAGGTTTACATTCAGAAACAACAACAACAAAACAAACAAACAACAACAACAAAAACTTAGGTTGGGTGTATAGTATGGATTCAAAAGAGTTAAGATAGAAGGATAAGGGACTAGATAGGAGATTGTATAACCAGTAGGTACTTTGAATCTGAAGGTTAGGGGAGAGTTGTGGACTGGATGTATACATTTGAGAATTATTTGCAACAAATAGTGGTTGATTCAAGAAATAGAATACAAATTAAGAAGAGAACTAGAATGGTATCTTGAGAAAATGGACATTGAAAAGGCACATGTAAGAATAGGAACCAACAACTAAAAAGGCAGGGTTGAAAGGTAGGAGAGGAATTAAGAGTGTTATCATGCAAATCAAAGAAAGAGTTTTTAGAAGGAAAGAGTAAACAATAAGCTAAATGAAGCAAAGAAGTTATGCAAACTAAGAATTAAGAAGTCACACTGGATTTTTCCACTAGGTTATTTCTTTCCTGATAATAAAATATTTAGTTTCAAGAATGTAAAGATTTACTAAACTCTGAGGCCATCTATATATATGAATTTATTAATGTTGAAAGAATAGAATCTTGTTCATTCTAATACCAACCAAAGATTTTTTTTTTTTTCATGTAACAGCATCATGGAAAGCAACGAAAAAGTAAAAACAATCGTTTGTTTATTGAAAGAAATAATCAAATGATAAATGAATAATATACTAATGATACTTTGGATAAATATGTAAAATTATCCAAATTGAGACACTTTTGAGAGGGAAAGGGATAGTTATTAATAACTGCAATAGGTATGAAGCACATCTATCCCAGGTAATCCAAGACTAATAGTCACTGGAATTATAGTTCACATTATTCAGTGCTAGCTGTTGTAGGAGACAATACAAGGATAACTTGCCCCAAGGGGACCTTCTGAAGGTTCACCAAAAAATCAACTTGCAAAAGACAGATTAATTGGAACAAGGCATACAAATTTATTTAACATATATACATAGGAACCCTCAGCATGAAGATCCAAAGATACTATTTTCTATTTTTATGCCAAGGTTCAACAAAGTATGGACAGCTGTATAGAAATATTGGAGAAAATGTGTATGATTTAATGCTAATAGACTTGAGTAGAGAACCCCCAGCAAGGCCTGTCTCTGTAGATTCTTCTTGGTGTCTGAGCATGCATTCCTTCCTGGTATGGGGCAGGACTCTGGGGGTCTGAAGACCTACAGTCAAATAGGATAGGTGAAATAATTTCTTTATGACCAGTTATCACACAAAGGTGAGGGAAAAATTAGAGTAATATTTTTAAGTTTTGACTAGCTTTGGGGAAAGGAGACTCTGATGTCTAGGACATCTCTTGAGGAAGAGAAATTCTAGTTTCTATGGCTAGCCTGGGGGAAAATGGGACTGAGAGGCAGGAGGTCAGAAGATCAGAGACAAACTTTGCTTTCTGAGGGTACTTCTGAGGCCTACATTTTGGGATATTGTTTTCTGAGCCCCAATACTACCAGACACTAAGAAGGGTTCTTCATTAGTTTACCTCATGACTAGTTTTAGTTGGCAACATTCCTAATTCTTTCTTTGTATATGATGAATTCATTGATATATATACTCTACGTAATTTTGGTGATTTAATTATTTTTTTAAAAAAGGTGCCCACTCTATACCAAGCTCTGTCCTAGAGGATGGGAAATGAAGATGATTAATACATAGTTCTAGTTGTTGATGATCTACCAGCATACTTGAGAGAATCCGCAAATGAAATTTTAATGTATTATGGTAAAGCACTGTGTTGATAGTGTGGTTTGTGAAGACCCCAACTAGTATTTTAGTACGTTGGGTACTATAATTTTTAGGGTTAAGATTATAGTATATTTGAATTCTGTAAGAAAGAGTTAGCTTTAAAAAAATGTTTTATCAAGAGAAAAGAAAAAGTACAGCTAGTTGTACATATAAGTGGGTTTTTCTCTATCATAAAAGTATATTTTCTCTCTCTCTCTTTCTCTCTGTGTGTGCGTATGTGTCTGTGTCTGTGTGTGTGTGTATAGTTCACTTCTTTATCTTAAAGGGATGCATTTCCATATCTATAATGTAATTTTAGCCACACTAAAGCTATATCCTGTGAAGAAGAGTCTGGCATATTCCTCTGACATATCTGGTAGATATGGATGGCATTAATTAGCATAGGTATTGCTGTAAATGACGTGTCAGTCCAGGACAACAAAAACTATTTGTTATTGTTGTCAATCATATATCCTTTGTCAGTTCAAAAGGCTTCCCTAAAGGAATGTGCATTGATCTGCACTGACCCAAAATACTGCAAAACTATTTCTGTGTTCTGGAAACTAAAGCAGAACTACCTGTGCTTGAAATGCTGCATGGATACTTTCCTCTAGAAAGTGCCCATTGATAAGTTTCAGTAGTAAGACTTTCAAATTTGTGCAAGATTGGTTGAATCTTTAGAAAACAAAACATGTACTCTAATCCTAAAATCTAGTCTTCAGTGTATTTTCTCCCTTGGTAGCTTTAATCTTTTGAAATTTATGTTTTTATTTTACCTTGAAATAATTTTGAGATATGCCAGGTAAATAATTGCAAATACCATTTACATTGCTTAAAAACAAGAGAAAAATCACACAAGTATTAATTTGTGATCAGATGATGGTTTAAAGAGGTGCCCTTTTGCCCATATATATTTTACTTTTTGTATTTTAGCTATTCTGATATAGATGTGTGCTTCATTTGTTTACTATTTTCTCACAAGTTTTTAAAAAATAAATACCAGCAGTATATAGTATATTGTGTTAAGTTTATGAGTAAAAACTAACTTCAAAGTGCTATCATGCACATTTCTCCCAATAAGTGTGCGTGTGTGTGTGTATAAAATTTTGCTTTAAATGTTTACCATGCACTCCAGTTTATTATTTCATGGAAGGGAATATGAGGGATTTTTAAGATAAGGCAAGGGAGTGTGATCCAGGTAACAGCATATGTTAAAGACATTTATCTTTGTTCTTTTTTTTTTTTTTTTTTTTTTTGAGTTTGACTCACACTGTTGCCCAGGCTGGAGGGCAGTGGTATAATCTCAGTGTTGGCTCACTGCTGCAGCCTCCACCTCCTGGGTTTATGCAATTCTTGTGCCTCAGCTTCCCGAGTAGCTGGCATTACAGGCACATGTCACCATGCACTACTATTTTTTGTATTTTTTGTAGAGATGAGGTTTTACCATGTTGGGCAGGCTGGTCTTGAACTCCTGAGCTCAAGTGATCTGCCTGCCCTGGCCTCCCAAAAAGCATGGTGAGACACCATGCCCAGCCGAAGATATTTATTTTAATTCTTAACTTTAATGAGGCAGAAAATACCCATTACTGGAAACTTATATTTTGATAAAATTTGAATATACAATGAGTTGTCTTAAACTTATGAATGTTCATATCACCAAATGTCACATATTAATATATCACATTTCTGTGTTCTTGTAAAGAAAGGTAGGATGTGTTGCATTTTTACATCTTATAAATTTGTTTGAGAATTAAGATGAAACCAGATTTAGAACATACCCATGTTACATACTCTAATACATCCAATACGCCTTGCTTCGGTAGCAGTTTCCCAACCTTTGTACCATTTAAAAAAAATCTCATTCCAGATTTATTGCTGTCTTACAGACCCTGTACTGGTTCTGGTCTGTTTCTTGCTCTTAAAATCATCATTTTTTATTATTCCATTAAAATTTTTAAAAATGTATTTTCCTTTGCACCTTTCTAATCATCCTGTAATTCTTCAGCCCTAAGACATTAAAATGAATGAGTAAAAATATCTGATACCTAATCGTCTTTGCCAGTCCATTCAAACTCATGGATTTGCAAAATTATGTTAAAGTCTTTAAAAAATACATTTGAGTATGCTTTTGTAGTCATTTGGATTTTGAATATTAATTTTCTCTTGCTGTGCTGCTTAGCCATAAAAATGAAAAAGCAGATAGATGTGGGTTTCTTTTAGTGGTGTTAATTTAAATACTAGATTTATTTATTATAATGTTTAACAAGGCAATTCTTATTTTTCTGTTCACATATCCAACAGAAAATGATAGGAAGCTTCAATGCCCCCTCACCCCCAGTACAGTAAGAAAAAAAAGAAACTGATGCATTTTGTAATCATTGATTAAAAGTATAATTTTCCTTTAGATCAAACAAATAATAGAAGTCTGTTGAAGCTTTGTCCTGACCTATCCTGGAAGTAGAAGAATAATCTGGAGAAAGGAGCATTGTAAGCACAAAGAATAAACTTCCTCAATCCTGAGAGAGAGAATTAAAGTCTAACTCGCCAAATGTAAGTCATCTGTACTCTACATATTTTTCATCCTTCAGTTTTTATTGCTCTTCAGGTTTCAGTAGAAATAAAGTGCTGACAATATTGTTTGGATTTTTTCCTCTACAAAGTATGCAGGTGTTTTGGTTGTAACTTCTAAATTTTGATGTGTGTCAATACTTACTAACATAACAAAGTTATACCTTACAATGATAATATTTAATGTAAAATGGGTTAATATTAATTGTATTTTCTGGTGAAGAGCTATTAAGAATTTTGAGTATTCTAATGAAAACAAGGTAATTTCCTTTGCTTTAGTATCTGCAGTTGTGCTGTCATAACCTCTTTTTGCGCAGAACTTTGGTTCCTTTCCTTCTATATTTCTTCATATCTGAGAATAAGGCTATCTTAATATGTCATTTAAATCTACCACCTGGTAAAAGAGACATTAATTTTTTTATTCACTTTGCATGGCGAAACTGAATTGGACTGAATTTGTATCAATAATGTGCTACACGAATATATCAATTTTGTCAGCTCAGTATACTGGAAAGACTAACTTCCTCTCTGATAGGAAAAACTTAAAAGATATGTCGAAGTGATTATATAGAAACACAGAATTTTGTTGCTGTTCAGAAGTTGGTAGATAGGAGGAGGATTGAAATTAATACTTGGCTTAGGACAATTACTTAGGAAGAAATCCCTTGTTCTTTGTAACTTTTATCAGGAAAGTTACCTAGGGCATCATCCTTATGATAATGTGATATACTGGTATGTGATATTCTGGCTTAACTGTCAGAAATTTTACTTTTGCTTGATAATTGATCATTTTATTATTCCTCAGTAAAATACCTCAATGATATAGTATTGTTTGGTCTTTAATAGTTCAAATTATACAGTAGAAAATGAAGACTTAGTAAAGTTGACTATGACCAACTCATACATTGCATACAGTTATCTCCAAAATTGACAAGGTTTTCAATGTGATATTCTTATTGACATAGCAACTGATGGAGTGGTAAAAGTGGCCCACAGTAAAAAAACTATGTAATTTCCAGGTGTATGTTTAATCTTTTATCTGGTGCACTCTGATAGAGCCACCTAAACACTGGTCATTCCTGAAAATCTTTAATTATAAATGAGCTCAAACTGAATTTAGCAGTAATTATTCATAGAAAAGGAAGACTTTTTGGTTTTGGACTTAGATGTTCAGTTCAAAACACTTTTTTTTTTTTAAACGGAGTCTCACTCTATCGCCAGACTGGAATGCAGTGGTGTGATCTCAGTTCACTGCAACTTCCACCTCCCAGATTCAAGCGATTCTTCTACCTCAGCCTCCTGAGTAGCTGGGACTGCAGGCATGCACTACCTACCACTTCTGGCTCATTTTTGTGTTTTTAGTAGAGACAAGGTTTCATCAGGATGGTCTCAGTCTCTTGACCCTGTGATCTGCCCGTCTCAGCCTCTCAAAGTGCTGGGATTACAGGTGTGAGTCACTGCACCCGGCCCAAAACATTTTTTAAATCATTGAACTAGATAGAAACACCTTGAAGAAAGACTACAAACGTTATAATTCTTTTCACTGACACGAAACAACTTTTCTTCATTTAAGACATTAATTTTTGTTATTGAAAAGAGTGATTTAACTTTAAAAGCCTTTTTAAACTTGGTAGGTCCATAGTGAGCTCCCATTTACTGGTTTGAGGCTGATGAAGAATTGGAAAATAATATCATTCACAGAAAAATCTTGGTTACCCTCTGCTCTACAAAAATAAAAGTGAACAAACTATATCCAGAATATAGTGGTTGAACTACAGAAATATAATGCTGAGTAGAAAACCTATACCCCCAAAAATTATACAGCATTATATATATATATATATATGATTATATATAATTATATAGAAACACTCTTATGATTATATAAACACATATGATCATATAGAATAATCATTATATATATGATTATAAGATTATATAGAAACACAGTTCCAATACAGACTTATAGTGTTTGGGGCTGCAATAAGTGATGGAATAACAAAATTGGAATAATTTTTAAATTGTAGATAGGTAGTAAATTGAGATGGTGTTTCCAAACTTTTCTAGCATGTTGGAAATATTCTGTTTGTTCACCTAATAGTTGCATGGAGGTTTTATGAAAATCTATTGGTGAGAAATTGGATACTTTTTTGCTAAGATCAGGAACAAGGCAAGGATGTTCCCTCTCACCCCTCCTATTCCACATTATACTGGAAGTCCTAGCTAAGGCAAGAAGACAAAAAAGGAAACAAGACATTCTTATTGGGAAGGAAGAAATAAAACTGTTCATTTGCAAATGCCATAATTGTCTATGTAGAGAATCCCATATAATCAATAACAACATAAACTCCTGAAACTCATAAGTGATTAGTGTTAACACAAGGTTAATATATAAAAGTCAGTTGCTTTCTCATATGCCAGCAATGAACAATTGGGGTTTTAAATTAATAATGCAGTACTGTTTATATTAGTACCAAAAATGTAACTACTTAGGTGTAAATCTAATAAAATATATTTAAGATCAATATTAGGAAAACAATAAAACTCTGATGAAAGAAAAATCAAAGAAGATCTAAATAAATGGAGTGATTGTCCCTGTTTATGTATAATTGGATTCAATATTAAGCTGTTACTTCTTCATAAGTTGATATGTATATTCAACACCATCCCAGTCAAAATCCCAGCAAGTTATTTTGTGGATATTGACAAACTAATTCATGAGTTTATTTGGAAAAGAAAAGGTCCATGTGAGCCAGCATAATGTTGAGGAAGAAAAAGAAAATCAGAGGACTGACAGTCCCCAACTTTAGAATTTAGTATAAAGCTAAGAAATCAAGACAATGTGGTATTGTTGAAAGAACACACATAGATCATTGAAACAGAGTAGACAACTTAGAAATAGACCCACACAAGTATGGTCGATTCACCTTTGACAAAGGAGCAAAGACAATTCAAGGAAGAAAGGACAATCTTTTCAACAAATAGTACTGAAACAACTAGACATTTATGTGTTAAAAATTAATCTAGACACAGATTTTGTACTTTTCATAAAAGGTGCTGTTCTCATGATAGTGAATAAGTCTTAGGTTTTAAAAACGAGAGTTTGCCTGCACAAGCTCCCTCTTTGCCTACTGCCATCCGTGTAAGACGTGACTTGCTCCTACTTATCTATACTGGATCTCAGCGATAAACATAAAACAAAAAACTATAAGCCTTCTAGAAGATAACATAGAAGAAAATCTAAGTAACCTTGAGTTTTGTGATGACTGTTAGATACAACATCAAAAATATGATCCATGAAAAACATTAATAAGTTGGATTTCATTAAAATTAAAAATTTCTGCTTTGAGAAAGCTACTATTAAGATAATGAAAAGATAACCCACACACTGGGAAAAATATTTGCAAAACAAGTATCTGATAAAGGACTTGTATTGAAAATAAACTATAAAGAACTCTTAAAAATAATAAGAAAACATATGCTGGGCATGGTGGCTCATGCCTGTATCCCAGAAGTTTGGGAGGCTGAGGCAGGTGGATCACAGTGTCAGGAGATTGAGACCATCCTGGCTAACATGGTGAAACCCATCTCTACTGAAAATACAAAAAATTAGCCAGGCATGATGGCACACATTTGTAGTCCCAGCTACTTGGGAGTGTAAGGCAGGAGAATCACTTGAACTCAGGAGGCAGAGGTTGCTGTGAGCTGAAATTGCGCCACTGCACACCAGCCTGGGCAACAGAGCGAGATTCCGTCTCAAAATAAATAAATAAATAAAATAAGAAAACATGTAACTCAATTAAAAGTGGGCAAGGCCTCTAACCATATACCTAACCAAAGAAGATATACATATGGCAAGTAAACATATGAAGCAACACTCAATATTGTATGTCATTAGATAATTGCAAATTAAAACATTGAGCTGCCACTAAAAGCTTACTAGAGTGGCAAAAATCCAAAACACTGATAACAGCAAATGATGGTGAGGATGTGGAGCAATGTGAATTCTCACTCATTGCTGGTGGAATGCAAAGTCATATAGCCACTTTGAAAGATAGTTTGGTAGTTTCTTACAAAGCTAAACATAGTTTGAAGAGCTCAGAAGACAGGAAAACATGGGAAAGCTTGTAACTTCCCAGAGACGTGTTGAATGGCTTTCCCCAAAATGCTGATAGCAATATGGACAATGAAGTCCAGGCTGAGGTGGTCTCAGATGGAAATGAGGAACTGGAGCAAAGCTGACTCTTGTTATGTTCTAGCCAGCAGACTGGTGACATTGTGTCCCTGCCCTAGAGATTTTTGGAACTTTGAACTTGAGAGAGATGATGATTTAAGATATCTGGCAGAAGAAATTTCTAAGCAGTAAAGCATCCAAGAGGTAACTTGGGTTCTGTTAAAGGCATTCAGTTTTATCAGGGAAGCAGGGAATAAAAGTTTGGAAAATGTGTAGCCTGACAATGCAATAGAAAAGAAAATCCCATTTTCTGAGGAGAAATTCAAGCCTATTGCAGAAATTTGCAAATGTAATGAGGAACTGAATGTTAGTCCCCAAAACAAAGGGGAAAATGTCTCTGTGGCCTATCAGAGGTTTTCATGGCAGCTCCTCTCATCACAGGCCAGGAAGCCTAGGAAAAAATGGTGGTTTTGTGGGCTGGGCCCAGGGTCCTCATGTGCATATAACCTAGGGACTTGGTGCACTGCGTTCCAGCAGCTCCAGCCATGGCTGAAAGGGGCCCATGTAGAGCTAGGGCAGTGGTTTCAGAGGATGCAAGCCCCAAGCTTTGGGAGCTTCCATGTGGTGTAGAGCCTGCAGGGCACAGAAGTCAGAATTGGGGTTTGGAAATCTCCGCCTAGATTTCAGAGGATGTGTGGAAATACCTGCAAAGGCAGACTTTTGCTGCAGGGGCAGCCTCCTAATGGGGAATCTCTGCTAGGGCAGCGTAGAAGGGAAACATGAGGTCAGAGACCCCACAAAGAGTCCC